AAAAAAAAAATAATTATAACTATTTTTCTTCTGAATTCAGAGCAAATAATTATTAATAAGCCAAAAATTTTATTGCTAATCATTTGAGCTAAATTTTTCGACATAAACCATAAAGGGAATTAAAGCTACACATACACACACACACACATTCACAGAAAATAACGTACTAATTTTTGGTGCAAAATGAATAAAACAATGTCGTTAGCAAACCAAAAGACTTGCAGAAACTAGAAATAAACTAAACGTTTTGTAAACTCAACCAACAACATAGCTGTCAAAGATTAACAGTTTATTGCACAACGAAAAAACAGAAAAAACGACCAAAAAAAAAACTAACCAATCCACAAAAATCTGAGTTACAGTGTCTAAGACGTATTGAGAACAAAAGCTGGTTTAGTGTAGGAATTTTAATAACGGTATTAAATAAAACCCTTTTTTTTCCTCTCTTTTAGTAAACTCAGTAGCAAGCAGTTCAAACCAAAAAAAATGAATGCTGCTAAACAATGTATGCTAAATTTTTAAGTTTAGAAGAAATAATGCAGTTGTTATAATTATAACAGCAGTAATGGTAAAAAAAGAGAATCCAAAGAACCCGAGCACTGTCGTAGGAAGTTCTTGTTAAGTAACACGATATGAGCAGAATCTAAGGACAGCAAAAGTCACGCTTTAGGCATCACAAATTTTGTTTCGCCCTTTGAACATGACATTTAAGTTTTTAAAAATTAATTTCTATTCACATCGATTGCAATATCCAAAGACAAATTCAGACAAAATAAAACATTCACAGTTAGTTAAGAAGAAAGGAAAAAAAATATGACTGCTAAAGACAACATAGAAAGTAGACGAGAAAAAAGCCTCAAACCTAAAAAAAAAATTATTTAAATGAATGTTATAAGAGGAAAATATAAATCAAAAAACCTTTCTTCCTTTTTTTTAAAATCATATATTTGTTTGTAGAGCACTACAGGAAGCAGAAGTTACAGACCCAAAGAACAAAGCTCAAAGAAAAAAAAAAAAGAAATGAATAAATAAATAGAAAGCGAAACAATTAATTGAGATAAAAGAAAATAAAAATACAATAAATGATATGCAGTAGTTGAAACAGGTTTTTTGTCAGTTTTATCATCCATTTGCGACAAAATGACCTCATGTCTTACTCAAATGAAATTAAGCAATGAAAAACAATTTGAAGGTGA